ATTTATCTGAATATCTAATTCAAACGGAACATCAAAAATGGACATATCCCTGGTAATTTTCTCTTTAATTAAAATTTGAAGACTCAATTTCCAAAGCCTTAAGTGAAGCCGTGTGCTGTTCCGATCCCATGAACAATTTCATAAACCAACCCAGACCTTTTGTTTCTGGTCAGCTGGGGGTCTGACACATCACCATGTGAATGCATATCCAAACCAAACTGAGAATTCCACGTATGCCACCAACATGTGGAGATTTCTGCCCCACTCCCCCACTCACAGTCACGGCCACCCACTCGATATTTTTTTCAGCGCCTTGGGACGTCCTCCTGATGTGAAAGGCGCTTTATAAATGGAATCTTGTTGTTGTTGTTGTTGTTGTTGTTTGCAATGGAAAACTCACTATCTCCCCGGAGAGACGCACGCTGCTCACCTAATGCCAGAGATTTTAGGTGCAGGGTGATAAAAGTCAAGGCTTGGGGACCCCAGAGTGTGCGTTTGGGTAATTGTCTAAGACCGCATAGCTTGCCATTAAGAGCACCGTCCGGGAACCTTCCTGAGCTGGAGGTGGGGGGAGGAGGTGATCGTAGGCACGGTCAAAGAAAAAAAGTCTTCAGTCACGATTTAAAGAGGGGAAGGAGGGGGCAAGATGAAGGGATTGGGAAAGGAAGTTCATAAGCTTCAGGGTGTAGTGGCTGAAAGCTCATCTGCTGATGATGGAGCGGAGGGGTCGAGGGACGAGCAGGAGGTCAGAGCTAGCTGGGGGGAGGTAGTTGAGTGAGGAGAAAGCAGGTCAGAAAGGTTGGGAGATGCTAGAGCATGAAGGGAGGATCAATTTGCCATTAAACATTCGGAAAAACAGAGTTTACCTGATGTGTTAGGATGCAGTGATTACTGGATGATGGAGCTAGCTTTTCGACTTTCATGCAACCTTGCAATCAACTCAGTGTCTAAGATACTAAATTGAGGTTGAGTAGGGAATTCAGCCTGACCACAATGTGGTGTCTCTACTGTAATATGTAGAGTTTCAAACCATTAGGTTTGCAGGAAGCTGAAAGAGTAATGTTGATCTGAGATGTTGTCAATCCAGAAGATAGATTAATCTGGAATTTGACAGGTATGTAGAAATAAAGACCTACAATGCACAAATTAAGACCTGATGGCAAAACTATTTGGGATATCAGACGGACAATACTTTAGACAAATGTCTTGGGTCCCTTTGTCCAGGAGCTGATCTCCACAGCCCATTTAGCAGTTTGTTGTGATGGCAAAAGACAGAAAAAATAATAATCTTTGCATTTGATATAGCACCAGATTACATCATTGAGACGTCTCAAAGAAATTCACAGAATATACCATAAAATTAATTGACTGTATATTTTTGTGGGCGAAATGCGACAGCCAATTGCGCACAGCAGTGTCCCGTAAACAATTGTGAATTGAGTGAGCAAAATTTTTTTTAAGGGAATATTATCCCCGGAAAGAAATCCACCAATCGACTAAAAACTGGGTTCTTAACGCTAGGTACATTTACTAATTTGCCGAAGGTTTCGCCCTACCTGGGAATCGAACCCGGGTCCTTTCGCTTGCAAGGTGAGTGCTCTAACCAATATTCTACAGGACTCCACAAGGAGGTGGAAGAGACAATCGCACTCATGCTTTGCCTTGATTACCCATCACCAGCAGTTGCCCACTCAAGATGGATCACTTTTCATTAGCTAATGCAGTGGAGGGCATTGTGGTTCCTCCGCCAGGCTTCTATCTTCTACAGCATGGAAATCTTCAAACACAGAGTGGCTAAAATCTGTTCTGACACTCAGATAGATTTGAAAAATTGCCTAGATGCTTGCTAAGAATTTTGACAGATGGGTTTGGGTGTCTGAACCAATCCTATCCTGTGGTAGCAGTATTATGCTTTTGTCTGAAAGATCAGGCCTTGGAAGGGTTAAAAAATAGTATTTTTCAAGAACAAAAAATATCTCCAACATGATCCAAGAAGCAGGCCAAAGTGGTCAAATGGAGTCCTGTACCATAGAATTTAGCGTGCTTGCCTCACAAGCGAGAGGACCCAGGTTTGATTCCTGGGCGGGGCGAAAGCTTAGGCAAGTTTCCTTACTCCACATGCTTCTGTTTACCTAGCAGTAAGTAGGAACCTGGTTGTTAGTCGAATGCCAGATCGCTTTCCGAGGGTAATAATCCCTCCCCACCAAAAAAANTGTGGTTGCTCATCCATGACTGTTTGTGGGACACTGCTGTGCGCAACTGGCTGCATTATTTCGCCCATAAACATATAGTCAATCACTTTACAGTATATTCTGTCAAGGATTATTATTATTAAGTATAACGGGCCAGCATGTTCCAGTGTAATAGACCAATGTCGTCAACTGGTTATATCAAAGACTAGGCATTGAGCACAAGGCATCAGTTTCATGGATATGCCAGGAATCACTCTTAAAAAAGACACTCCAACACAACAAAAAACACAGATGAGACATTTCTCTCACTCCTGGAAACTGAAACGTGCGAGATGTGGATGATAATGTCAAAGACAGAGAGAGACAAGTGGCGACCGGAAACAAAGTACAGGAAGTGAAGGTCACAGGGCAGGACTGGATGGAAACTATGATGGGACAGGCAACCCTTGAGATTTCCCTGTTGGTCTGTGGACATATAAGGCTTCCTAATAGCTAAAGAAGCAGTGTTGTATCTGGGTTGTCCTGAGACGCACATGTGTGACAATTCATGGCATTCCTTGCATTTAGCACTTAAAGTGGGGGAGGGGGGCTTGAAGTGGAGTGACTGTTGGGAAGTCCTCCCGACATGAAAGGCGCTATACAAATGTAATTTTGTAGTTGTTGTGTATTTGTTGTCAAATGCAGTTGCAGTACAGTTGCACAGAGCAATGTCCCACAACAGCCAAGGAGTAATGACCAATTTTATTTGGGGGGAGATTGGTATTGAAAAGCGGTGTCACTGACTTGGTTACAATAATAATCCTCGCATTTTATATAGCGCCTTATCATATCATTGAGACGTCTCAAACACTTCACAGGAATGTCAGTTGCACATAGCAAAGTCCCACAAACAGCCATGCAGTGAGTGACCAATTTTATTTGGGTGATTATTGGCCAGGATACCAGGAAAGAGAAACGCCCTTCAAAATACACATCAATCCACTTTTCAATGCATTCTGTGAAGTGCTTTGAGACATCTCGACAACATGATAAGGTGCTATATCAAATGCAAGGATTATTATTATTACTTTTTAGAATTAGAAAATCATCGGCAGGTTTCTTTCTCGAGCTATAGATGGAGAATAAATTGTAAAAATGGCTTTACTAAAAGTTACACACACAAGAAGCATCTGGAAATGGATATGAGAACTTTTGACATGATATAGTGCTATACAAAATGCAAAGATTATTATGTTATTCATTTTATTGCGTCGCTGTTGCTAATAAATGTTCACTGAACACAAGTTCATTGAATACAGTATTTGAATGAATACTGTTCATTGAATACCCGGACTGCAGTGTAACACTTATCTGTGATGTTAAATTACAGCTGGTAAAATTACAGAGGTGGGCATCATTCATAATACATTAACTTGGATATTGAAGTGGATTGGGAGCGAGCATGAGAGTGGGATCAGACTGGATGGCTCATATGGAGAAAAAAGACCACTACAGATGTGATGGGCTAAATAGTTTATTTTTGTGCTGTTCTGGGTCTCAATTCCTGAAATATTTCTAACATTTGTCAAATTGTTTGATGATTTTTTTTTCTGAAACACTGAACCTTTTTGCGCTGATACCAAATATTGTGATGACTCAAAAATATCTGCATCAGTTCATTCAATGCTTTGTCATCAGCAGGACTGGTAATTGGCCATCATCTGTCCCCTGCCAAGCCCACCCTACTATCGGTGGGTGGGCCTTCAGCTTTTCGAACTCCATTGCACAGTCTCTTTGTCTCGCCCCTGCCCTTGCCTCCTTCAAGGTCTGTCTCAAGACCTTCTTCTTTGACCACACCTTCATCTCAAATCGCTTCACAGTATATACTGTAAAGTGAATTGACTGTATATTTGTGGGCGAAATGGGGCAGCCAATTGCGCACAACAGTTGTAGTTTGAGTGACCATTTTTTTTTAATTGTCACCGTAAAGAGATCCAGCAATCGATTAACAACTGGGTTCCTAATTGCTACTGGGTAAAGAGGCCTGTGGTATAAGGAAATTTGCCTAGGGATCGCCCCACCCCCCGGGAATCGAACCCAGGTCTGCTTGCTTGCGAGGCGAATGCACTAACCAATATGCTATGGGACTCTATACGCTACATCAGCAACAACTGGTTCAAAGCTGAAACTCAGTTCTGAATGACTTTTTGGAAAGAAAGCCACATCCTTTTACCATCCAGCAAAAAAGCATCAGTGAATAAAATGTCATCAGTGAATTTATTGCAGTCCAGCTAAAATAGGCAGTGTAAAGAGTAAAAATGTAATGAGGGTGAAGAAAATCATTTTCAGTCCGTTTCAAATTTAAATCTCATAACCACCAGGTGATCAATTTCAAAACCCGATTTGTTCCGCTAGCGTGCGCCTTTTAAATCCACATTTCAAGATCACCTTGCAATGGAGAACTGCAAGACAAATCCTTTTAATGTAAGATTTATGATGAGTGCCACTCTGGGAGCATTTTTACCTTGCATGCAGAAGCCATTGCCAAATGGTCAGGCAATGAATTCTCACTGCCAGAGGGGGATTTTGTTAAATATTTAGAGTTTTAGTAATAGCAACTTGGAAATACATTTGTGACATCAAATTTACTTACGGGGGTGACATGAATCAGTCACATTGATGTAGCATTCAACAATGTGTCACCATGACAATTGCAAGACATCCAAAATGGACAAGCAGCTGAGGTCCGGCTCTTGATTAACTGTGGATAAGGAAGCCATCTATCAAGCTGATCAAAAGAAGCCAGCCATTACCAAACTGAATACTGACCTGATGATGTCTCCCTCAAGGGCAATGACTCGCTTGATTATTTTCTGTTCTGGGTTTTTGGGTGACCTGCAATAAAAAGACAAAGTTATACGATCTGTAAATTCCTCTCAAATTATAGAATATATATAATAATCCTTTGATTTGATGTAAAACCTATTTCATTTTGTTGAAACATCTCAAAGTGTTTCACAGAATATATTTTAAACAGGATTGACTGTATTTTGTGGGTGAAATGTGGCAGCCAATTCCACACAGCAGTGTCCCACAAATAGTTGAGGATTGAATGACCAATTTTTTTTTGAGGGATTATTACCTACGGAAAGTGATCTTCCAATCAATTAACAACCGGTAATTGAACCTGGGTTCTCTTGCTTGCGCGCGAACCACTTCGCTACGGAACTCAATGAGTTCTATTTGGTTTAAGAAAATTCACTGAATTTTGTTTTATGGAGAAAAAATACAGAGACCATTAAGGCCATATGGGAGTTTCTTGCTCTCCTTAACATGCAGCATCCATCAAACTTAAAATCCAGCAAAGCAACAACTTTTGAGAATCTGGCAATTATCTCAAAGTAATGCAGGAAATATTTTGTGAGGAGCCGAGAAGCTTCTGAAACTATTTCTTCTGAATGTTACAGCAAAGTACATCAAGAAACCATTTACCCACGTGAGATATGAAAAGACAGCTCCAAGCAGGTGGGAACTGCAAACCTCCTCCCACAGTAAACAACTCTTTGTTTTAGAGCATTCATTTAGCTCCTAAACTTAACACAGAGTCTAATTGAACTATCTAATTAGCATTATGTTTGTTCAAGTCGGAAAGCTTTTGAGGGGAACATGAATGTGTCAAGTTATTTTTGCAGTTGAACAAATAACATAAAGTGAGCGATTAGACAGGATATAGTTCCCAAAAAATCTCTGGATTTACAGAATTCAGATTTTCACTGGATAAGCCATATTATCGAGATATAAACCTTTATGACAATCTATGAACAAGGGTGCTGTGCCTTGCATCGAACTGCAGAGTCTTGTAGTTTTTCTCAGCAACAACATTCGGACCTTGAATCTCCAAAACCTCAAAGATCACAGGCAGAATTTAAGCAACATTCATGCATCTGTATTTATCAAAACAAGTCCAGTGAACACAAGTCCAGGGTCAGTCTGGCTCAGTCAGTAGCACTCTCCTTATAGTCAGAAGGCTGTGGGTTCAAGCTCCACGTCAAGGACTTTGAATTCATCGACTGACATCAATACAGTGCTGGTGGAACGTTGCATTGTCAGAGGTGCCGTCCTTCAGAAGAAATATAAAACTGAGACATTCCTAATCATAATAATCCTTGCATTTGGTAAAGTGCCTTAGCACATTAGAGTGATATCTTAAAGCGCTTCACAGGATTTACTGTGAAATTGAATCTCTGTGTATATATAGGTGAACATGGCAGCACAATTGCATACAGCAAGATACCACAAACATTATTTTGACTCTTTTTTTAACATTTTTACCCACACCACCTCCCATCCAGGTGACTGCTGGGCAATGTCAAGCACTTTGAGACATCCTCCCGATGAAGTGAAAGGCTCTATATCAATGTAAGATCGTCTGTATCCTCTGCAGATGAAGCCAAGTACCAAAACCGAAAATTGTTTGCAGGTCAAGTCACGGCAAGTCGTTACTTAAAAATTACAATTGCGAGGAATGTTCTTTAATGGCAGAAAATTCTGTGCGCCCACAGCAGTGCTCGTAGTCTGAAGCCAAAAGGCATTTCTGCAACCAAAGACATGATTCTCGCATAGTATGTTGCTTCCCTGGTACCAGGGTTGAAGACATCAAGGAACAGGTGCAAAACATTCTACAGGGGGAAGGGGAACATCCAGAAGTCATGGTCCATGTTGGGATACGTGACGTAGTGAAACAAGGGCTAAGATCCTCCAGGGAGAGTGTCAGAAGCTAGGGAAAAAGCTAAAGTGTAGGACCTCAAATGTTGTGATCCCTGGATTACACCCAGTGCCTTGTGCAAGTGAATATCAAAACAGCAGGATCAAACGCATGAATGCATAGCTGGAGAAATGGTGCAGAAAGGAGGGCTTCAGGTTCCTGGATCATTGGGAACAGTTCTGGGGCAGGTGGGACCTGTAGAAGGTGGATGGGTTACACCTGAACAGGACTGGGACCAATGTCCTTGCAGGGAGGTTAACTAGTGCTGTGGGGAAGGATTTAAATTAATTTTGAGGGTCGGATGTAGCATTAGAGAGGAGAAACAAGTTATATAGAGGACTCGGAGAGACAAATGGCAATGCAATAAGGAGTAATCCAGAAAAAGGAGGTATTAGACACGGGAGAAATGCAGTGCAGACCAAGTTGATCTTTGAGTGCATGTGCATAAATGCATGGAGTGTGACAAATAAAATTGGTGAGCTGCAGGCTCAAGTTGCCACATCGGGTTATGATGTAGGCAGTAATGGAGACCTGGCTCAAACAAGGGCAGGAATGGGAACTGAATATTCCTAGCTACAATCTATGAACCCTTTGCAAAAAACGTTTCTCTAGCAAATTGTGTGACATTGCTGTGTGCAGAGTGGCTGACAAGTTCGCTCAGAAAAATAAATGCACTTTTGCACGTTTATCCTGTGAAGTGCTTTGCGTTGCCTCCTGACAGGAAAAGAGCTGTATCAATTAGTAGTGATTTTTCCAGTAGCAAGTTGCAAACTCTGCCAGCTTCCAAACCTTTCTGGCCTCAGACTCTGAGTCAGTGATAAACTAGGTCAACAGCGGAAACCAACTGTGTCCCTTCCACAAACACCACCGACAAGAGAGGACCATGAAACAATTTAATCTAATCGTTAGCTTCTGCTCTCTCAATACCTCCGTATCCTCCAGCGGAGGGGGTCTCTTTGGAGCTGAAATGGCTCCAAGATGACATGTTTGGCAACGGGTCTTGGTATTCTGGTTCCTGAGCCAGGTGGGTCCGTCGTATTCCAGGGGACTGCTGATAACAGCACAACCAGTCTGGCTCATCAGCAGGAGTTGGAGGGCAGTATCCCTCCACCTTGCCACTCTTGCCCATCTTTGGATTGCACCTGAAGACCTTCATCTTCGACCGGGCCTACAGTCACCTCCCTTCTTTCTCACTAGTTTGATGTTAAGCTCTGCCACCATTAAGCGCTCTGAAACACTGTCCCGAGTGAAGGGTGCTGTGTAAATGCAAGTTGTTGTCACTTCCCATCACCAACCTAATTTGCATCGACAGGACGTGGAAGGGCAAATCAGTTACTGTAGGTAGAGAGTCATCCTCCTGTTAACCCTGTAAGCCAAAGCCCTAATGGGTAGGGCGGTCGTAGCTGGACAAGCAGTGGGAAAGCTTGCTGGACAGCAATATGGATGCTATGCTGGTTCGACTTCAGCAGTTACCCCAACACACACTCCCTAAGCCTTGGCTCTTGCCAACCTACGCCTAATACTTTCTGGAATTAGGCAAGCCAGATGCATTCCTCCAGGGAGAGATTGCGCATTTCATTCCAATAATCTATCTCTGGGATTTCCATGTGTGGGGGGATGCATGGAATCGCAGCTTAGTTTGGCTTAAGACGGTGATTGATTTCTGCAGGTGTCAGACACCTGGCTGACCCTAAAAAAAACTGATTCGTAGCCCGTACCGTAAAAAAAAATGTGGTCTCTCAATCCACAGTTGCAAAGATTATTATTATTTCATGAAACATTATCTCTTTTTGGAAAATGTAGAATTTCAAACATCTTGTGAAAAGGCAAATGATATATGCACCGACTTCCCACGTGCATGTGACACAAGCCCAAAATTCTGAAAAACTGTGTTAACTCTTTCCTGCATGCTCTGTTTATAAATGCTGACAGGGTCCCACAAATTCTCTTGATCTTTCTCTCTGCAAAGGATCTACTAACTGCTCTGTCGTTCTCAAATTGATGTTTCATTCCATCTGCCACATGCTGCCACTCCAGTGCTCAGTTAACAAAAGCTGTGAATCAATGAAGCTGCTACGTTTATTCTAATAATACTTAGAATATCTCAACACACTTCTCAACACACATCTCAACACACTTCACAGGATAATAATAATCCTTGTATTTGATATAGCGCCTTATCATGTGGTTGAGATGCCACAAAGACCTTAGCAGAAAGGGATCATCATTGTTGCTCTCCTCAGGGCTGCCTCTCAGGCCTGGGGAGTGCAGACCCACCTGGATTGTTTTTAATTAGATAATTGGCCAGCCTGAGCCATCCTTCAGATGAGATGTTAAACTGAGATCCTGTCTGCCTGTTCATGTAGACAATAAAGATCCCATGACACTATTCAAAAAGAGAAGGGAATTTCTCTCCCTGGTGTCAATCCCCAAATAAAATTGGTCACTCACTCCATGGCTGTTTGTGGGACACTGCTGTGCACAACTGGCTGCTGCATTTAGCCCACAAATTACACAGTCACTCCACTTTACAATATATTCTGTGAAGCGCTTTATGATGCCTCAACCATGTGATAAGGTCCTATATCAAATACAAGGATTATTATTATTATATACTTCAAGCTTGCCAAACCCCTCCACCAGCTACAAAAATCCAACTCACCTTCCGGCTAGAAATGAGCCCTGCCCCAATAGACAGGGGAAAGTACTGGCTCGAGAAAAGGGCCTGTTCAATTGTGCTGTAGCACCTTGGGAGGTCTTTCCAATGTGAAATGTGCTACATATAAACATAATTTGTTGTTGTTGCTGTGTCTGCTGAATTCTGATAGCATAGCATATTGATCAGTGAGCTCACCTCGTAATTGAGAGGATCCAGGTTCGAATCTCGGGTGGATGAAATTTTAGGCAAGTTTGATCCACACATCTCTAGGAACATGATTAGATAGATAGTTTTCAGGGGGTAAAAATCCCTCCAAAAATCACATAATTGGCCCATCAATCCATAACTGTGTGTGGGACACTGTTGTGCGCAATTGGCTGCTGCTTTTCCTCCACAAATATAGTGCCTTATCATGTCATTAAGATGTCTCAAAGTGCTTCACAGCATATATTCTAAAGCAAATTGACTGGG